ACTCGATGAACAGTACAACGAGATGGAAAAGGTACAGTAACGCAACTTCTCATCTTTACCTGAATTCATTGCCAATGTTGCAGCATATTGATACGACCTATGAGCTTATTAGCGCTCTTGTAGCTGGCACAAATGAATACCTGCAGCCGAACCCTGGTAAGTCCATTGTTTTCTACTTCAAAAACTGCTTACTCGCACCCCCACTTCCTTTGTTTTTTTATTATTCTATTTTCTACTACTATTACTATACTAATTATCCTTTACTGCCCTAATCATCCGAAGGCCAGTTTTTCTCTTACTGCACCAGTCATCGGAAAGTCAGTTCTGACAGTCATTCTCGGAGGACAGACTTTGCTAAAAATTTGACCCGTGGGGTAGTTTGACCTTGTGAACACGAATCTCACATCCGCTCGACTCGAGGATTCCTGGCTCCCGCGCTGAATTGCTTTAGATCACCAAATTCGCTGAAAACTGCCCTAGTGATTGCTTGACCTCTTGAACACAATTATTACATCTGCGTGGGGTGTTGAGAAAATTAAGGATAAATTGGGTGAACGGATGGCGCAGCCTGCTTCTGCTCGCATACACCTTTTATCCGAGAACTGATGCCTTCCTCTGCTAAGGCCTCTAATGGAAACAGTGATTATCATAGGCAACCAGAAAGGGTGCTGCTTCTTCTCCCCAACGGCCCTAACACACCGCTCGGTACGAAACCGACTGGAGTCCGTGCTATACGCGCCGGAGTCGAAACAAGCATTTGATGAGTTGATTGCAACGCATGCTATGTATGCGATGTTCGCCTCTGGAATATTCCAGCGAACTGGTTGTCTTGGATATTTTGGCGCCGATGATTAGGACAGTAAACGGTGAATAGTCTCTTTTTCAAATTCTTTTATAACTAATTTTTAGCAACTCGTGCAAAGATGGCAACAATGGGCGCTATCTCCAAGGTCCGCGGTACAGTGAAGACATCACCTTATCCACAAACTGAGGGAATGTTGGCCGACACCATGTACAAATATGGAACTGCGTTAGGTGACTCAAGTGATCTTGGGAAGGTTAGCATTTTATACTTAGCATTTGTTACATTTGCTTATTTAAAACAGTTTTAAGGCATTACTCGAAGCAGCCGAGGCTTATCGCCATATGGCCGACATCAAATATCAAATGGAAGAAAATGTAAAGCAAAACTTCATTGATCCGTTAACCCATCTGCAGAATAACGAGTTGAAGGACGTTAATGTAAGTGGAGAAGAATGTTGTAATTACAATACCTATGAGGGGGTGAATGAATAAGAAGTGAATAATAAGGTTTATGTAGCAGACGTCAGTGGCCGTGTACACTACCTGCTCAGAAAGAATGATGTGGCACTGACGTCACGTAACACGTCAGTGACGTGTGTTGAGGCTCATTAACCAGTATATTAACATGTTAAGTGAGTGCGGCATCTCATTAACGTGTCATATGATACGTCATTTCCTAACTTAACTGAATCTCCTGGACTTGCACTGGTACTACAACTGCGCCCCAAACTGGTTCTGGGGAGCTTAATACACTCGAGTTTTTGTGTAGTTAGATACGAAAGACTCCCCATCTCTGTTAACGAATCTGGAAAGCGAGAAAATCTGAAAAAGAACAGCTTCGAAAAATTTGGATTTCACACTTATGTTTTGACGTATAGCACCTCCGTAAAGCTTTTTTGGCATTTCTCGGGTGAAAGATGAGTTCATTGTCAATAGCAGGAATACGGCTGTGAAATCCGAAGCTTTGGAGGCAGTTTATGTTGGGCCTTTGATTAAGCTTTGTGAGGCCTAGTTTTGGTAAAAAAACTCAGTTCATGTTCATACAGCGGACAACACAATACTGAACTTTTCTTGTCCAAAATCTGTCTTATTGTATGAACGCGTTCAGACTTTGCCTCGCGCGATTCGATCGCGTGCTCGGATTCTCGACCACGACCGGGGCGCTCCGCCTCCAAGCGTTGCGCCGCCACAACGGCAAAATTCAGATTTGGCCGCGTTCACACACTGCCAGTGAGTTGTGCCGTTGTGATGTTGCACCGTTTGGCGGTGCAGCGCTTCCGGTGCTGGTCGCGCGATCGCGAACTCTGAACGCGGCCTGACTGAATTTTCCTGGTTATTTCTGTAACAGAGTTAAACTGAGAACAATTGAATCCTCAAACGAACATCATATTTTGGTGTAAATTATGTTTGCGTTTTTTAGCATCATCGTAATAAACTCAAAGGGGCGTCGCCTGGACTATGACTGTAAGAAACGGCAGCAGAGGAGAGGTGAGTGTAATTTCCTTTCCATTCTCTGTGAGAAAAGGCGCGAGCACCTCACTCATAAGCTGATTTCGACTCAAGGGATTTGCTTAAAATAGAAGGAGGGCGCTATTGGTAGATACCGCTATGCGGCCCGTTCTGTTTAGCGCTGTTTTAGTGGAAGAACTGCAGCTTGATAACTTAAGA